TCTGCAGGGTAAGTTTTACAAAGCTGACAACCGGTAGAAACATGTAGTGGCCCCAGGCATCATGCCTGCCTATCAAAGACTTGGATTTTAGCCCTGGAGAAATTACAACTTCTCAGTTCTCTGGAAGCTATATCGGCTGAGAAGAAAGCAAGAGAGTAATGAATGACCTAACTAAAAATTATTTTAATACACAGATTGCATACTGTAGGCCATAAACTTAGGGGTGTGGGGAGAACTGTGGTAAGACGGGGAGGAGGAAGACATCTTGTATTTGACAGGAACAGCGTAGCCACAGATTACAAAATGCAAGCAACCAGGGCTGCTACAGCAGCAAAGTCATCTATTGGAGTGGTAGGAGCTGGGCTGGCACACTGAATGGAAAGTATGGATCCAGCAGATAAACCCTGGAGACAAAGGAGGAGGAAGCTCAGCACTCCAGGCTGGAAAAGACAGTGGGGAAAAGACACGTTAGCAAGTTGTGAGTTGAGGAGCCAGCCAGCAGGAATGTGGAAAAAAGAGAGTTAAATCCAAGGAAGGTGCATAGACATGACTAAAAAGGCATTTGGCCCTGTGGCAGTCCCTGATCACTGGTGGCTTATGGCCTCATTGCTGCACGTCCCTCTGAAGGGCTCGGAGCCACCTCGGCCACCTCTCTGCCGGGTGGCAGGGGCAAGCAGCCACGGCCCAGCTCTCAGGTGCTGTCCACAGGCTCCCACTCACACCCTGACCATAATGGGGGATCCCCCTCTGCCAGAACAGCTCGGTTGCTGCGTGCCACCGAGGCAGGTTTGCTGCCCGCACACTCAGAGGACGGCAGCTTCGGGGCCGGGAGAGGGGGGTGAGCTGACCTGACGTGCAGAAACACCTCCCACCGCCCGCTTCGCCTCTGCACAGGCACAACAGCTCTGCGGCATTTCTGCAACGTCCATTTTAATCCCATGCTCATCAGTTAAAATAAACTGCCAAACCAAAGGCCCAGAGTTATGGTCAGAGACTTTTTTTTGAAGCCCTGCAAGAGATCCATACTGTTTCAGCTTCCTCTCCCAAATGTCAGCCCTGAGCTGTTCTTGTCTGGCCAGCGGAAGCATGTGACATGAAATAAAAGCCAGGAAATAAGACTTTCTGAATAAACATTTATTTGGTGAGAAATATTTCTGATTTTTGGCAGAGAAATGTCAGAAACCTGAAGCCCTATGTATAGCATGCCTACAGAGTGCAATTTCTATTTAAAGGGAAGCTGCAGCTGTCTGTAGCTCTTAATGAAGAATAATGCCTGGGAATAAATTACTGCCATTTCTGAGAGACATTTCTCAAATGACAGTGATTCTTCCCTTTTTCCCCTCTCCCTATAAATACAGAGTGGCATGTACTGGGCAGTTGTTTGGAAGAATGGACACACGCAGTGCACTCTTTTGTCGGCAGCCTGGTAATTTCCGTCGAAAACCATGAAGTGGTTTAGCATACGGATACCAAAGCGATTCAAAAGCAAAGACGTACAGAAACATTAAGGCTGCATGTGTCAAAACTTCCCGTTGCTCTTCCGAGGTGTGCAACGCTCATCGCTGTTTGAACAGCCACGGGGCATCACTTCCAACCGCGCCACAAACCCGGCGTTGAGGCTTAAGGCGAGGGAGGCGGCCGCTCACAGAAAAACTGCTGTAAAAGGCTCTCTAAGGTTCAATTTTCAGCACTTGTGGATGCCTCCTCTCCGAGGGGCTGCCGCGGGCGGAGAAGGTGATGCTCTGGGGAGAGGGTGTGCCTGGGCTGCCGCCAGCCCGGCCTGGCGGCTCAGGAAGCGGCACTGACATCAGCTCCAGGAGCTGTCGCTCCCAGCCCCACCGCAGGTCCAGGTGCCAGGAAAAACAGCCAGTGGCTGGAGGAGGAGTACGGATGAGATAGGACCAGGGTGAAGGGAGTGAGGAGAGGGCCAAGGAGTGGAGAAAGGAGGCGACAGCTTAAAAATGGGATGGGACCGGTGCAGTCCCCGAGACCCTCCCCGGGGTCAGCCCTTACAGCGGCAGGTTCCCACCAGAGGCAGGCACGGAAAGCCTGTCGGAGCGGGGATGTTTACTATCCTGCCATCTGCAGTTTGCCCCAAAGAACAGTTATAGATATGAGATCAACTGAAGACGTTTCAGTTATTGACACATACTGGATTTAGAGATTTATTTTCCATTTCCCATAAACTGTGCCAGAGGTTTTCGCATAAGCGCAAAAAAAAAAAAAAAAAAAAAAAAAAAAAAAAGGTGAAGAAAAGCCTGCGAGTGAGGAACATGAAGAGTTTATTCATTGCTCCTGTCAGAATGTGTTTGTGCTTGTGCGGCTAGCACTCCAAAAAAGCTGCAGCATATGTTTTCAGGATGGAAAAAACCCATCAGGATACCTAAACCCTACCAGAAAATTACAAAAACGTATGCTGGAGGTACCTCCTGTGAGAGCAAAGGAGCCTCTCCTTGCTTTGTGTTTACTCCTCACTAAGTGAAATAATGTTCCTCCTTAACGAATCCTCCTGATATCCCTTTTTCTCTCTTCAAAAGAAGAATATGGACTTGATTTGTACAAGCTCTGCTATTCCAGAAATGTGCTTCATCCGAATGAGGAGAGCAGGAGTAAGCAGGCAAGAAATTCTTACTGTTTAGTAAACAGGCAGTTTCTAGGCGGATACAAGACACTGGTCCCAATTTACTGCCCCCCTCCCTCCTCACACCCCCCTTCTTCTGAAATTTGCCTGGGTGGCAGGAGGAGGCGGCGGAAGGGATGAGAACAGCGACCGCTCGCAATGGGAAAGGTCAGATCGCTTTCCGCACATCTTAACGTGACAACACCCTGCAAATACTCAGGGAAGAGAGAGAAGTATTCTTCAGTAAAATCACTGTATGCCAGCATTTCCTTTCAGCAGAAACACCATCCCTCCTCATCTCTGGTATTCTTGTCTCCCCGGGAGATTAAAGGAAAGAGAGGAGGGGAGAGGAGGAGTCTGGCCAACCTCCTCCTTCTTGCAGCACTGTCCTGCAAGTAGAAGCCAGGTGACAAAATACACTCTCAAGGAACTTCTGAAGAGCTCTCCACCAGCTATGAGCAACTGCCCAAAAGAAACCGGTCCTGTGTGCCAGGGTGAGAGCCGTTCTGAAGAGCACTTTCTTTCCATCTGTACCTGGTGAGAAAAGCACTGCTTTTTCTGCATCAGCCCAGGCCTCAGGACAGTAACTCAGGGTTTTGGCACTGCAGTAGCAGACCACTGCACTGTACTTTAAGTGGGCTCATTTTAAACCATTTAGGACAGGAGCAAATGTAATAATCACACCGACAGCACCTTCAACAGATACTCCATCCGCTGTGAGGGCTGACAATCACCTCCTTCTCTCATGCAGTTTATCTGGCTGACCTGGCACACTACATGCCTTAGAGGACCCAAGAAATGCTCTCCTTGGCATGAGGTGGTGCTGCTGTTGCAATCAGTGGAGGTGATTGCAACATCTTGAACAAACATCTCCTGTTATCCCAACAGCTCTGTATGCTAGGACAGTTTTTTATGATTATGATTATTATTATTATTTAAGGCTGCCCCCCTGGGCTCTAGTATGTCAGTGTGAAAAGTAAGCCCTTGTGGTTTCAAAGAAGTCTTTCAAAGTGTGGGAATAAGGTGATATGGCCATGTCTGCGTGGATACAGAGACAGGGAGTGAGGAGCTCCAGGTCTCAGAGGCCCCTTATTCATCTTAATGAGTTACTAACTTGGCAGCTTAGTGGTACTAGTAACTAACAACTCCAAATGTCAGCACTGTTAACTATTTCACTGTAGATCAAAGCATGTGGGAAAGAGGAGAGATGATGAAGATTTTTCAGTGCCTTCTCTAACATTTATTTTCCAAGCAGGTCTTGGGAAAGCAGCACTGCTTAGACTCTGTCTCAATTTGCTCCCCAAAGCCTAAACCCAAAGAGAAAAGTTGGAGGGCATCCAACTTTCAGGGAGCTAGAAGGCATGCCCAGCAGTCAGAAAATATATACTTACTAAATTGATGATAAGTGCAAAAACTAATTTGCTCCAACTGGAAGAATCTGCAGCTGTTTTATCACTACTAACATCTTGAAGGACAACTGCATACTTTGGACATAAGGATTTAAATACTAACTTACCTAATTTTGAAATTCCCAAGGTTACTTCTTAAGACAAAAATAAGGATTACTCTCAAACTTGGCAGGCTGAGTATTCTTGTTTTCCTCTGTTTGTGAGGATGTTTACATTTCATCTGCGCATTTCCCCATTTCAACCCAGAAAAGCAGTGGGCTTCATGAGAAAAACAATGAACATAAAAATATTTATGCCTTCTCTATAGCCATACCTCATGAAAAGAGTTTCCTTTATTAAATGCCACAGCTGAATCAGGCTCTTGCTTATGTGACTGTGTTTCCCTCTGAAAGGTACGTTACTCCAATTCCCATGAACACAAATCTCTGAGAGGAGCATTTGTATTGAAAATACTCAAATTCATCAAACTGATCAAAGCAATAGGAGTTTGGAATAACAGGCACAAATAACCACACTTGCATTCCTCTAATTTGAAAGTGACCAAATAATTTCAACCATTGTATGAGCATGTATAAAACTCCTGAGTCAGACCTGTAGATCATTGAACTGTTATCCGTAATATTTTTCATTCTTGTTAGGCTACACAGTCACAAGGCCTTCAAATGCAGGCTTAAATACTTAACTAAAGAGCGATAGTAATGTGTTAAATAACTGTAGCAGCCCAAGGAGAAGAAACGCAGCATCTTTACTTAGATATTCTGCACTTGAAGACATTGAAGGAAAGAAAAAAGAGAGAGGGAAAGAAATTCAAGTCTGGCTTTGCAGCCCAACCCAAACACACCTGCCCTTGGTTTCAGCAGAGCAAAAATATGCTCAGTACATCACAGGGACAGGAGCAAACACCACAGAGCAGATACTGCCCCCCCAAAATACACATTTGCAAGTACGTGTTATTGCTGCTAGGAACTCACAACATTCACTATGTTCTTCTTCGTGGAATTCTGGATTATCCTTTAGCATGAAGATTTTTCAGAAACTGCCGGATTGCTCACAGGTCCTCACTGGCTTTCCTCTTTCAAATAAAGTAAGATAGAGCTGTAAAAGAAAAGCAAAACAAAGTAAGAAAGGAAAGCAAGGAATAAAAAGAGGAAAATCCACAGAGCTGTTCAGCAAATGAACAATTGATTCCTACATCTCCTTGAAGCAAATGCATTTTTAATGAGGTCCCTGGATGGAGATTCCAGTACAGAGTGAGTGTACGTCAAACACTGATTTGGACAGAAAGAGTCATTTGCTCTCTACTTATTACCAACAATTAAAACCCAGTTCAGAGTTGCTGAGGCAGATACATAATTAAAATAGTTCTTGGATACTTCTGTTACCATAACAAGAGGAAGAAAAAACTACTTGGGGTTCTTGTTTTGAAAAGTGTCTGCAAACAAAGTGCATGGTGTGCAGAGAGATCCACACAGGAAGATTTTTGTTCTCAATGAACTCCCCCTCTAAGGGGATGCAAACACTTGTCTATTTTTGTGGTTATCCGTAATATTGCAACAGAAGAGTACTGAAACCAAAATACACACAAACTTTCTATTTCTCAGTAGGAAGTATTTTTCTAATCTGAGATTTTTAATATCGAGTGGTTCTTTCATACTTATTTTTTGACCGATTTTCTTTGTGGACCAACGCTGAATTTTTCTGACCTATTGTACAAGGTATCTGACTATTCTCAGCCTTTTTACTGGGGTCTGGGAAAACTGTCATTCTTCATTTTTATGTGAACCCCACACTGAATACTTAAATAGAGTGTTTATTTCCACAGGGCCTGACCTGAACACTTTTTTCCTTCAGCCAGGTTCTCGTGGTCTACTTGTGTTTCCTAAATTCTTAGTTTTACTTTGTGCCATGAACCTTTCCTATCTCCTTGACATAACGCTTCTAAAACATTTCACGTGTAATTTCAGGATTCATGCACATGGATCCCACCCCATCAGTGCTATGGTGGAATCCACATCCCCAAACTGAAAACATGCAGGACAAAAGTCTACACCTGAGACAGTGCGAGATCTCTCTACTTTCAGTGGAGGAAACTAGGCAATCTGGAAAATGATTAATTTGACCTATCTGAAGCATCTCCTTTAGGACAGAATGAATCACTCTCTAGAAAGGTCTGCTTCTCTCCCTCCATAAAGTGAGTCTAGACACTGAGCTCAGATTAGGTGGCTACAGATGAATGCAGATGAATCTTACCCTACGTGAAGGCAGGAAACAAGCCAGACGGACAAGAGCAGTTTGTGGGTGAAGAGCAGGGGGAAGGCAATGCAATGATAACTATTCAAAAAAGATTACAGCCCTGAGACAGTCTGGTTTAGTTGAACATACAAAGCAACAAGAAGAAAACCTTCCAAAACCCAAACCAATATTCACCCAACTGACCCAGCTTTCGTGTAAGACTACTCCTGGCTTTACTGGCTGAGTCCAAGCCCTCCCAGAGCAGTGTCCGTGAACCAGCGTCCAGCTGGTTGGGACTCTCCAAGGGGCACTGGCAATGATGATGATGACCACTAGTCTCAGCTACATGCATCTCTGTCATCTCCCTGATGGGCTGTGGCAATGCAAGACACCAGCCACAAAAGTCTTCCCAGCTTAAGAAACTCTGAGCGGGAAGTACAGCTCCTGTGGGACAGAGGCACTGCAACCTCAAGATCCTTCAGACAGATACCCAGGCCCTGGCCACACTTTCAGGACTTTGGTAAACAGCTTCTCTCCTCTACTAAAATGGGACTCTGCTGCCTATCTGACAGAGAAGCACACTGTCAGACATGATCTCACAAGCTTTTTAACTTAGAAAGCAGACCAAAAATAAATAAAAAAAACCCAAACCTAATTTTAAGTTAACCCTCAAAATTTTGCTTAACCCAATAGTATTTTTTTCAAGCTATGTATTTTTTCTTTAAATTATGTGAATCTGAAGATTGAAAGAAAAAACAACCCCCCAAGCTCAAAAACATTTTTTTTCTAGATGTTCAAATGAAACATTTCAGCATTTTCAAAATAATTTCTGTTTTTTTCCCCAATAATTTGGCAATCCAAAAATCTCCTAAAAATTCCATTTCTTATTGTCATTCAACATTCAGGAGAACCTGAACATGGAGTTCAAAGGACTGCAAGAAAATCTTTAACATTTCTGCCAGAATTAGACAGCTTCCAATTATTTTCAGTAAGAGTAGGGAAGTCTACTTCATGCGCACCTTGTCTCCCGTATCAGATTCTGCAGCTCCTGCTTGCGTGGGCTCCTCAAAGCCTCCCTGGAGAATCAGCCACGCATAGCACTGGGCTGAAACCCACCACACTCAGTGGAAGTCCTTCCACTAATTTCACTAGGTGGGATTAGGGTTTGGATTCTGTTCAAGTTAAACAAGGCTCTTGGTTGCCTATACCGGTCACTGAAACGGGAGGCAAGCGTTGCGTGCTAACTACGCAGTTATCTCGCTATCAGTCTGGAATTTATCTTGCAGACCCCTGCCAGCACGTGGTGCTCTGCGGCAAGTACCCTTCTCCATGCACACAGGAAAGATGACACAAAGCAAGGCAGCCTACTCCTCAGGGAAGAAAGGGCAAGAGATCTTGTATTTACCGTAGGGTGCCTTTGCACCACGCACACAGCCAGTTATTATGGGCAGATGATGCGCTGTAAATTCACAAGCTAGTTTAATCTGCTACAACTTGCTCACTTGACCTTACCCGTAGGCACTTCTTTCTGTGATGGGCAAGGCACGCCTGCCTGCAAATGTTCCCAGACACTTTTATGCTTAAGATTTAAAGACGGCATGGTACAAACTTCAGAACACACAGGGAGATCCGCTGCTTCTCGAAGCACAATCCTTGCCTGAAGAGCAGAGCACTCATTCCCTACCTGGGATGATCTTTTTGCTATGCAGACCTGTTGGGCTGTGATGAAATGCTCTTCATCAAACATGTAAAAGAGTCGTAACTTGGAGGGACTATCAAGAAAGGCCAGATTGTAGTACAACTAGGTTTTAATCGGGCTTTGCAATTGATGTTTCAACATGATCAATGAATCATTATCACATACAGCTACCGATCACGTCTTGGCTATAAATGGGAAGTGTTATGTAAAGAAGCTGTTTTTCATGGTCCCACAGCATTACGGTTATTCAAATATTACAGCATAGCCCTGCCTTTGAGTGCTAAATAGGCCACTGAGTTGACAGATTAGAAGTAATTGAGAGATGAACAGATCTCAAATCAAAGAACTTGGAAGTACTTCTTGGGAGTATTTAGATACTAAAATTGGACCCCAGGGCAATCAACAAATAAGAACCACAGTACAAGTGAGCAACTGCAAATTGGCAAAACTGAACACCAGAAGTCAGCTCTGTGCAATACCCTGTATTTATTCCAAAAAAAGGTCATGCTCTCCATCTTGCTTTGAAGAGCAGGCAGTGAGAGATCACCATTTTTCTAGTCCTTTCCTGCAGGTTTTTAATTGCCACTGCTTGCTCTCTTGCATCACGTAATTTGGTTTTCCTAATTCACAAATCAGCATAAGCTAATAAAACTGTTTAAGAGACAGCAGCGTTGTTCCCAAGTTGTTTCGTTGTTCGCTATTATCCCACAACTAATCCTTCAACTCAAATAAAACTGTAATTCATTTCCTCCTTTATTCTCCCTTTGCATGAAATAGTTTTAGACAGGTTCAATCCTGCCCCACCAAAAATGGGAAAGGTGAGGTTGTATCTTCCTGGAGCAAGTGTGATTTCAATTACCTAATGTGCATATCATCTATCATGTTAGGAAAAAACTTCTAAATAATTTTCAACAGGTTTAGCTGATTTTATACATACAGAAATGGAAAAAACAAAACAAAACAAAACAAAACACAAACCATCCAAGAATTAACTGTCTTTTATATTTCAAGGTAATAAAAGCTTCTCCATGCCAAACTTTACCCATCTGAAAAATCTCCTGACATTTTGTCTAGTGTACAAAGACTGCTCCTGATGGGGCTGAGTCATCTTTACATTAATTGTTCTGCTGGTGTAAAAAAGGCTTAAATCACAATTATGTCTACTTTCAGGCAAAGGTGAAAGAATGTCACCTTAGCACAAAAGAAGTTTAATTTGCATAAAAAAGGCAGGTATTACTGATTTCTGTTTAGCATCCATTGCTCATCTGAAGCTTGATTCTCCACACCTTTGCCAGGTAAACAAGTACTTCCCATGGCTTTGCATGTGGTCCATAGTGAAATGCCCTATTTCACAAGGTGTTACACCCCCTTTGTGCAGGGTGAATAACTGTATCTGGGTGCAAGGGAATAGTAAATCAAGTTGTCAGCACTTTGCATACCCTGCAGGTCCTAAACCAGAAAAACAACATGCAGATCATGGGGTTCAGACAAGAAAGCAATCCATCCTGCCTCAGTTTGTGGCAGGGGGCAGAAGGTGTACCTTACCTTCCCCAGCTCTGTGAACACATCCACAGGCTGTCCCAGCCCTGCACACCTTTTCTGTGTGAATGGCATTTCCAGTGCGAGTACTTACTGGAAAAGCAAAGTGCTGCAGGATGGGAACATCTGTGTACAAACAGCAGACAGGACCAGCATGTGGGGCTGAAGGGGTACGGCTGCAGCTCACATCCTCCAGTGGAGGAGCCACTACTGAAGATGACCAGTGATTCTGTGCAACTAGTGTTAACTGCTAGTCATCTAGAAATCTGTGTCCCAAGACTTAATCATTAATCAAAAAACCCACGTTATTTATGATTATTTGATCCACAGCATGTATTTTTCCTGACTTAGGGCTCAGGCAAACCACCCCGTGTTTTAGCATCAACCTATGCAAGCAAACTGGGAATGGGATTTTTCAGCCCTACTCACTGGACATCCGTCCTGCCAAAGCTGTTATCTGGAAACAATGGAAGCAACTTTGTTCCCAGAGCGGTCCCTGCTGCTCTCATTAGCCATTCCCTCACCTCAACTCCTTTGAACAAGCCATCAGAAAACAGATGAAGGCTCATCACCACAGGGGCAGTTGCAAATACAAAAACACGCATGCCAGCTCAGACTCACACCC